GGAAATGGATGTGGAAGTGATTGCTTGTGTGTGGCTCCTCTATCGTCGCTATAAAAGACGACGGCAGAGGCAAAGAGAATTTTGGGTGCACCCAATATTACGAGATAGACTGACGCATGAAATGTTTGCGACGTTGTATCCAAAACTAAGACAAAATAAATTCAAGTTTTTTAATTCTTTTAAAATATCTATGAAATCCTTTGATGATGGTTGGTCTCTTTTAGATTTCATCAATAAATAGATCAGTATCGAAATGATCGTTCTCCATTTCAGCACATATATCTCAAAGCGCTCGGCTGACGCCCGCAAAACGCGCGATCGAATGTACAGTAACATGGCAGCACATATATCTCAAAGCGCTCGGCTAACGCCCGCAAAACGCGCGTTTTAACAAAAATCTATAAACGTGCGTTTAATGCGTGCTTGGCCAAAAGCGCGCGTTTGAGTGTGTACTCAAACGTGCACTTTTGGTGTGTTTTCTGTCTATTTAACATGAATTTTTTCTGGGGTTATTTAAACATGATGAGCAATTATTGTGACATCATCACAATGCCTGACTGCAATTTTTGTCATAATACACTTAAGTTTAGTATTGTCTTGCCCCTGTACATCATACTTTTTCTGTTAATAATGAAGTCATGCTGGTCATGTATCTAACTCCATTTAGGAGAAAATTTTTGAATTGAAATAATGTGACTTCCAGCCAAAGCAGAAGTTTGTATATTGTTAATCAGGATTTCCTGTCCCTAAGCTTTCTAAATCTGGTCTTGACTTTCATCTATCTAGCATCCATTCTCGAGATTAAGGAAGGACAGACAGCAGTGGGAATTTATAGGTCTACAATTTTTTAAATTGCAGCCCAATAATGAAGAAACAGATTCTCGATGATAAGAAAATACTATAATATAGCAATCTGTGTAATTTGAAACTAGTACTTAAATTAATATGCCATTTTTGGCCTTAAAGGAAAAAATAATACTTGCTAAGTTATTTATTCAATATTCAGTACTTAGCTGTCATCCTGAGATAATGAGAAAATATAATAATAATTCTTAATTCTGCAGAATAAATGTATGTAACATTTATTTTTCAACTGCTAACTGGATACCATTGAAATGTAATAACTCATTTTAGTAACATAAGTCAAATTTAAAAGATGTAACAGTTGTAATAATTTCATTATTTTATATTATTTTTAGGGAAATTGTTATTGTAATTGAGTAATTAAAAATTATAGTTTAATAATAATATTATTGTAGTATAAATTGCTTCTTGTTTGGATAACTATGTTAATTTTCCATTGGCTATTAATATGCTTTTTGTCAGTGTTAAGACAATTCTTATTTTTTTGTTAGTTTGTCTATTTAGATATAATATTGTACCAACTGAGGAGGGATGAATGTATATGTTTGAAATGCATATTGGAGTCAATCAAAATTAAATGATAAAACAGTCACCTTAAGTCATTTGTGATCATTATGATAAGTTTGGTTTTGAGACATATTAATAGCCAATAAAAAATTAATACAGTAGAGTCCCGAAAACTCAGCACTTGATAACCCGGCAGTCCGGATAACTCGGCCACACTCTGGCAGGGTGAAAAAAACCCCTAGTTAGTTTTCATTATAGCAGCTTTATGCCTCTTAAAGTATTTTTCTGAGGTCTGTCTTATCAGGTAAATTACTGTACACTGTGTATTCATTAATTTTCATTTTCATGTAGTAAAGGCTCTATGCTTTCATAAAGTACATACTTTTCCTTTGTTTAAGGGTATTTGGGCAGTTTATTCTCTGTTGTATTCTCAAGTAAACAATACATACAAGTACAGTACAGTATTTTCTGAGGAAACACTCGTACTTATTCTTTTTTAACCCCATTCCTGATAACCTGGCATTTTCACAAACTTGGCCACCCTTCGGTCCACATTAGGCAGAGTTTTCGGGACTCTACTGTAATAATATTATTATTTATTGAATTAAGTAAACATAATTTATTGTTTTTATAATATAAAAACATTAATACTGATATGAAAACAGACTCTAAATTATAATATTTACATTTATTAAATATTGATGTTTTGTTTCAGTTGTTGGCTTGGATATTCAAGATGATATGGGTAGGCATGAAGTAGGATTTGTAGAAAATACTGAAAAAACACCATTAAATAATGGTGCTGGTTGCAGATTTGAAGGAAAATTTTATGTTAACAAAGTGAGTATTATAATTATATTAATGAACGCATTTTGAATAAAATTTAATAAACAATAGTAAAATATTTAAAAAATAGAATTATCTAACTAAAGAAAATAAATTTTATTTCATCTTTCAAGAAAGAGCTAACTACTTTATTGAAAAAACTTATAATTGTTCAAACTTTGCTCCAATAAAAAAGTTTTTATGTACCATAAGAATTATTCAGTTATTTAAAGACAGCTTTACATATATAGAAACAAAAAAAAACTGTCAGTTGGCATTAGAAAAAATTTTGATGTTAGAGAAGGCTCACAAGCACATTCAACATTCCATTAATGTCTTCAGGCAATGTAGAATGATCTATATTGTTTGAAGAGGACATTACATTTTTTTCAAAAGGATAAGTGTAGTTCACTAGCCACAATTTTTAACAGATTCACTGACACACTCATTTATACTAGAAATGAAAAGTGTGATTCATTCTTTGATATGTTTCTTGTGAGATTATAAATAATACAGTCAAACTTGTCTAAAACAGAGCCCAAGGGACTGAACAACTATTGTAGTAGACAGGTTTCCACTATAAAGAGGTTATCTACTATAGGTAGCCCTTGATTAATGCAATTAATAAATTTCTCGATGTTACTGAGTATATCAAAATCACATTAATCAAATACAGTGATATCTCAGTACTCGACTGAACGATCACCACCTGCTAGAACAAATTTTTGCATTAATAACAAATATTTTTATTTTAACTTTAATTTTTCATTCATTCGTGAAAAAGTCGTCTAAGATAAAACTGAATAATGAATTTAAAAATAAAATAAAACCTTACAGCTGCCTAGCTTCATCTGACAAAATTATACTCAATTCAGTTCATTTTTCATAAGTGAAAAAACAAACTGTGTGCAGAATACAATCATCAGCATGTTTTACAATCCTTTTCAAGTGGATGTAATGTTTCAACAATATGTGTCTCTGACACTAAGATTTCTGTTATTCAAACACTATGTAGTGTAATTAATCAATCACTTGGCATATTTTTTATCTCTATTTTTTATTCAGTTGATAAACATTTTTTCTACATGTTTCGTGTTCAATAATGCCCCTTTTCAGTCAACTAAAAAAGGTATAAAAATATACACAAATCACAAAAAAAAAAAAACCAATATACATATATAAAATATAGATATTGTATGAAACATACCTCGAGATCGCAATCGCTTGAAACAATCTATATTAGATGTCTGTGTGATGTGTATAACTTACACTGATGATCATTCCAGTTTATCTATTAAACAAATATTTAAATCCAGAGTTACAAATACTAATTATTACTCGTGTTAATTGACAAAATCCATATAAACACATTTCAAACACACCTTTAAGATTATTGTAGTTCACACACTTGAAGGATAGGTGTACCGCTGATACATAACATTGTATCAATCTGTTCTTGTACTTTCACACTGGTATTGTCAGTGTTCTCTCTCCTCTTTTTCAAAAATAGTAAGGCATGGAGATAATTTTAAAAAATTTTTCAGTTCCGTTTCTTCCCTCTGTTGATAAAATCCAATAAAACCATACCATACAAACAGGTTTATCATTATATGTTATTCCTTATATCATCTCTTTGCTTTCAATGTGCAGTACCGTGCCTATTAGCATATCCTCACGTGATGAGATGGCCAACCCATGACCAAATATTTATTGACTGATTAAATATTATTATAATTGAATTATTCAATTTATAAAAAGTAATATTTCATCATATGATGCTTCTTTGACGGCTTTCTTTTAAGGTTTAAATTTTAAATTTAATATCGAAATATATTCGAAATGGACAACAAATTACAATAAAATGATATTATAAAAACATTATTTATTTAAGAATATACTGAAAGAAATTATTAATAATACTGAATAGTCAATATTTCTCTTACAGATTATTTAGTACTATACTAGTATGTTTCTTATNTGTTAATTACAATTTTTTTTATAAAAATTGAAATATTACTTAAACAAAGATGTCATGTTATATATGTAGAGTGCAGCAGATTAACCTGCCAGTTGTTAAATATGGCTGTTATTGGAACTGTGGGGATGGGGAGAGAACACATGTTGTTTAACTAAAGCCATTCAGTAACAATTGAAATTAGTGTGTAAAATAAAAAAATATATTTTGTTTTATTAGTTTTTTTTGGTTGTAAGAGAGAGGGTGAAGGGAAAAAAGCATTTAAAGATTTGAAAAGTCAATGAGTCATTCTATTCAAATTTATTAATTGTATATAAACTGTGAAATTGTTGAAGTAAAACTGTTTTGTCATCGTCTTTTTATGGAGTTACTGTTTTCAATGCCATATGTTACACAATGCAGCATTGGTCAATAGTGCATTTTGCTTTTATGATATAGATATTTTTTAAGAGTAATAATTTTTTATAGTGTTCCTTGTTGTAATATGGTCATGATAAGTCAATGACAAACTCCAGAAAAATGGCTCTTGCCTTGGAGAGGGAAAACCAGTGTTAGAATTCCTGAAAATGTTGATGGAGTGTCACTGTAGCCAAAGTGATTTGCATATAAACATGCATGTATCAGACTATACAGTGCAACCAGGTCTGTGCTGAAGCAAAGAGACAAGTGCCTTAAGTGACAGAACTTACAGGATGTCAAAAGGAGTGACTAAACTTTTGATTTTGTGCATATGTGGAAAGTAATTGTTATATGACTGAAACTAAAAGTAATGAATGGCAGGTTATTTATAGTTCTAACAAGATTAGAGACCAAATTTAAGGTTAGTTCTTCAGTAAAAAAGGTACCAGAAAGACAATTCAATGTTTTTCTATGGCACAAGAATTAGTTACTCTTACTGAAAAAACACTTTGTATAATATGTAATGAAGAGCAAACATCCAATGCAAAAATTTAACTGTGTAATGTATGCCAAGGGCAAATAAATAACTAATAAAATATTAATGATAATACTTTATTATTTTTTATATGGATAATCTAAACAAGAATACAAAAATAGTCCTTGTCATAATGCCATATATTTTCCACAATGGCACAGAAGTGTGACATTGCAAGATGCAAAGGAGTTTAACTTAATGAACATCTCAGAATTTTCAACTTTTAATATGATATTTCTAATCTCAAACATTTAGACTATAGTACTCTTGGTAAATATTACAATGACCTATATTTAGCTTTAAAGGATGGTAAGAATGGAGATATTGATGAAACTGAACTTAAAGAAGAGATAATCTTTCTAACCTATTACCAGTAGATATTAAGAGTTCAGAAAGTGTTTTAATTTTATACATAATAATGATTGTTATTTCCAAATGGTACAGTTAGCTTCAATATACTTTTAACATTGCCAATTACAGTACCTACAACTGAATATAATTTTTACAAACTGAAATTAATTAAAAAATATTTTCTATACAATTACTACACAGGGTACTTTAGTCAATTTGCAATAATAACATTAGGTATAATCTCTATTAAGAGAGAGAGAGAGATATCCAATAAACTGAATTATTGAGATGACACACATACTTTCATAAAATTATAAGCCCATGGAATGTTTTAAATAATACATTGTGATATTAGCATGTAAAAATTGTTATATAAATAAAAAAGGTAAATAAATAAAGTTTCTACTAAAGTATATTTTTTTATTCTTCTTTTTAACTATTATTTCTAAACATTTATGTGAATTAATTTGTTTCAAAAATCATGTAAGTAATATTTAATTATATATTTTATGTAATTAACATTTAAACAGAGGCACCAAAATGTTCAGCACAACCCTGAGTGCAACAAAGAGTGCATTTCCATCCATATAAAATGTTTACAGTTCAGAGCACAAGAAAATGCACCACTGTTTGTGAACACATTTTGAATATTATAAATGATGGTACTATTAACCATTTTCTCTTAACAGATGAAGGTAATTTTTATCTGAGTGGCTATGTTAATTTCCAGAATTGTCACTATTAGATAGCAGAGAACATTTATGAGTTTCACAAACAACCTTTACACAATCTTAAGGTTACTGTTTGGTGTAACGTAACAGTTTTTGGAATGATTGGTTCATATTTCTTCAAAGACAAAGAAGGCAGGACTGTGACAGCAAATTCAGCTTGCTATATCAAAATGAATCACAACTTTCTTGAACTTGAGTTGTGCCAATGTGATGTTGAACACTCTCCTGGCTTCCAAGATCATCTACTTCAATGCCTGCAATTTTTTTCTTTGGGGATACCTCAGGAGCAAGGTTTATGAGAACCAACTTAACTTAACTCGATGTTCTGTTTCAACTTGGACTGTGGCCAAGTTGAAGCAGAACATCAAGATGAAGTGGTGGAAATTTTTCCTGAAATGTGCAAGAACATGTTGACAACAATGGACACCACCTCATGGACACACTATTCAAAAAGTATTATTTATGAGTCCTGTATTAAATGCTTTAAGGTTAAGTGCAAAATGACAATAAATTCATTTGGCAAAATTACATAATTTGTATATTTAATTTGTATATTAAAAATATTTAAAAACCAGCAAGTTAATTTGCCACACCCTGTATTACTGATATCTTTTTAACATAGAATTTGAATAAAATGAAAATAAGTTATGCTATGTAAAGAAGCAGTTTTATTTTATTTTATTTTAATGATTGATCATAATAAATGACGATGTCAAAGTTTATACAATTTGATGATTTTCAGTTATATTAAATAAACATACATCATTGAATTTTTTTGGCTGTATTAAAGTTCTAAATATAAAAATTTGCAATTTGTTTTTTATTAATCTAGTTCAAAAATTCTCAGATAGGTTAGTTTATAAAGTAAGTAAAATTAAAAAGTTTAATTTTAAGAGTTAAAAATATTTAGAAATCAAAGTAAGTCTATATCAGTTCAGCTTTTAAAGTACAACTAATGTTTTAAAATAAACTGTTTGGAAAGGCTTTTCATTTTAGAAATAATAATGTTTCAGAGTGCAATATA